TACTAAATATGTGCACTCTTTTTCCTTCACTAGGATTTTTTTTCACAGGGTTTTTTCCTAGTAAGGTTTTAATAAGGCACATTATCTTTTAATAAATATCCAAGGGGGAGTGTTATAAATATATTATATTATGGATGTTCATTTAGTACTCCGTTGTAAATAAGCTTCCTGAAGAAGCTTATCCATATGAGACTTTGCCGTAAATATGTTTATCTATTTAGTACTCTATTGGAAATAAGCCTCCTGAAGAAGTTTATCCTTTCGTTACTCCGTTATGGATAAATATTAACCATGGTAGAAGATTATCTATATCTGGCACAATAGCTTAGAGTAGCAGTTTACAAGCAACTTACACAACAGCTTGCAGCAGCAGCTTACAAGCAGCTTCCTTTATTCTATAAATAGAGGAGGATTCAGTTCATTATGTACATAAGTTTGAAATTTGAATAATATATCAGTTTCTCTCTATACTTGTCTTTACTTTACTGTCTTTATTTTATAACAAACACAACTTAGCTTTTCGCTTTTTTTTAATCTTTCATTAAAATAATAGTAGTAAAGCTCCATTTATTTATATTTAATTTAATTATTTATATCTTAATCATTAAATTTGCTTTTTATATTCTAAATCTTTTTTTAAGGCAAGAAATGTTCATTCAATATCCAAGCCAACCCAGAGTTATGATCATTAGTAGAAGTATTAAAACAAATAACATAAGTTAAACATGAATGATAGAAATTTCAAGTAGTAATATGGGTTACATACAATAAAGTTATTTGACCATGAGAATAAGTCGCTTTATTAGCATTGATCTGAGTCGCTTTATTAGCATTCCTCCCAGTAACGGTACCGGGTTCAAACAAACTAGGCACAATTGAATTAGAACAGTGACTTGCAAATCGAATTCAACCATCACCTTATTCGTAATATTTAAGTTTTGAGCCATGAAACTACTTTATAAAGGGAGAAAGCTTTCGAAATCTTAATCATTCAGATCTCAACTATTAAGTATTTTTTTGTTTTTTGCTATTGTTTATTGAGTATGAATATATTTAAATGATTAAAACCTATAACAAAATCTTAATATTATTAAGATGTTATCAATATAAAGATTTATGCAAAATAAATCATTTTTACTACTACTTCGTCCACTATCATCGCTACCTACATCCCCCCTCCTCGCCCCATCCCGCCTCCACCATTGTCGATTATCACCATCAATTATCCATAACTAGCATCTTCAAGCACAACCATCACAACCACTAATCATCACATTTAGCGGTCACTAAAGTTAGTCACAATTTACAAATCACCAATTATCACCATTAGCACGATCACCATTAATCAACATTGGCAATCATCATTATCAGCCACCATAAGTATTAGTAACCACCATAATCGGTTATCACCGCCATTATTTATCATTATCATTTACCATATTTATCAGCCGACACGGCCAACCACCATCAATAATCAGAATTGTCAGCCACCATCACCACTAGTTACTACATACTTGATACAACCACTACCATCGGTTGCCATCACCACCAATTATCATTGTCAGTCAGCACCCACGACCATAATCATTGTCCTTTACCATCACCAACCACAATATAAATTTATTTTTTCTATAGTATTATATTAATTAATATTTTATTTAAATTATATATTTATAAATTTAAATAGAGACAAACTTTAATCTATTGAGAAAATAAACGTCTTAATTATTGAGCATCAATATCTTAATATTTAAATATATATTTAGATTCAGAAATCTTAATCTTAATATACGTCTTAATTTTCAAATATGTATTCAAATTCAGACATCTTAATCTTAAATAAAAATACCCTTGCCTATAATATCTAAACATGTTGTTGCTGATCGAGATCAATATACATCTTTTCTTCTTCTTAAAATAATCAAACATTCTATTTTAAATTATCTAAAATTGTATCTACTTTTCTAAGTAATAAACATATTCTCCACACTATTTAGTTTTGCAATACTTTGTTGAGAAAATATATTTGAGGCGACCTCAATCATATTAAATATTAAAACTTTTCAAAAGTTGTATTTTAGGATTTCGTGTCATTTAAATACAATAAATTTCAGCTCGTGCATCAATAATCTTGAACCCATGCGATACCAAATACATCGAAGAATTGGAGTAAATTAACAATTTAAATGAAACTATTATAAATCCAGTGAATGTGGATGTCCCTTGCGTAATTTCTTTGGTAATCCATGTACCAAATGAATGAACCCATTAATTGTTATAATTTGAGGAGACTTTTATAACTATAAATAGAGCATTTTTGGCTCATGGATTATATAATTGAAATAAGAAGAAAAGTTTCCTTCTCCTCTTTACATCTCTTATCTATTCCTTCTTTCTTCTCTTTTGGTGCTTTAGTTTATAATTATAATATTTACTTTATAACATAAATTAATTTTTTTTTTTGGTAATTAACTTTCATTTGTATTAATCACCAAAGATGATACTTTACAATTCCATAGTCAAGCAAACTCAACTGACTATCTCAAAAGAAGTAAATATTACCACAAACCTAATTACATATTACTACTGTTCTACTCCTCTATAAGAAATTATTGTATATGATTCTTAGCTCGAGCCGCTACTCTAATATTGCAAATATATGCTATTTCTCTTGCCAAAACAGCACTGTCACGATATCCTTGCTCAAATGTACGTGTGTTCCTTTCAATCCATAGTGCATATGAGGTTTCAGCATAGATCATTCTGAATATGCTAGCCTTGTTGGGTTTTCCTTTACCTTGCTTGATGATCCACTGAAGGTGTTGATCCCAACAGGATGTTATCATTTGGCCTCCTTGAATCAATTTCATAATTTTCTTCCATAGCTTTATTGCATATGAGCATTGCACAAAAAGATGCTCCTTGTTTCAACCTGGCCTTGGCACATAACACAGTGAGGGGTGACATTTAATCCCCAGTTAGCTAGTCTATCTTTAGTAGGCAACCTTCCATGCAATAGCAGCCACATAGTGAACACTGTCTTTGGTCGAGCAGAATTCTAAAAAATTAGATATTTCCAGCTCACTCTTGATAATTCTCCTAACAACTATAAGTATATTTGCCGGATACTACTAGTATTATGATCACTGGAGTTCTGAGCCTGCAACATGGTACCTCTTGATCCAATTATTCTTCTCACCATCCAACTAGATTGTTGTGGGATTAGCATATGTTGTACCTGTTGCTGTTTGATTTAATAGGCATTAATTCACCTTATCCATAACTTATCCTGTTTGTGAGCTAAATCCCAACATGTTTTAGCAATTGCAGCTTTGTTCCACAAATGGAGATTTATAAGGTTTAGATCACCAGCTGACTTAGGAGTACATATCTTCTCCCATGCCACTAATGCCTTCTTAGTTATTGTGTTAGTTCCTGACCAAATATAGCTTCCGCAGAGTGTCTCAATATTTTCAAAACCTTAGCAAGTAAGATGAATAGTTGAGCCTACTAGGATTGGATATCAAATATAACATATTACACCAAATGCGCACGACCAGCATACGATAACTTTTTAGCAGTCCACGAGGAGATCTTGGCTGTGATCTTTTCAATCAGAGGTTGCCATTAAATGAGAGTTATTTTCTTAGTAGAGAGGGGATGCCTAGGTACTTGAAAGGTAAAGAACCTTGTTCAAATCCCAGGTGATCCAAAATCTGTTTCTTCACATCTTGTTTCACTCCACCAAAATATATTGAACTTTTACCCAAATTAGCCTGTAAACCTGATGCTTCAGAGAACTGAGAGAAGTATTTGTATAATGTAGTCACTGAGGATAGGTTACCCTTGGTAAACAACAATAGATCATCAGCAAAACTCATATGAGTTATGTCTAATTTCCTGTACCTGGGGTGGTGCTGAAATGTATGCTCCTGCTTAAGTTCATTGAGGGATCTACTAAAGTATTCCATCATAATTGCAAATAGAAAATGAGATATATGATCTCCTTGTCGAAGACCCTTAGCAGCATTGAAAGGCTCAATAGTTTCTCCATTCACAAGGACATTGTAGTTTACTGTCTTGATGCATTCCATTATCCATTTGGTAAATCTGTCAGGAAAACCTATCTCCTCCATCACTTGTTGTAAAAAGATCTACTCCACTGAATCATATGTTTTTTGAAGGTCAATTTTTATCATACACCTAGAGGATATCTGAGCTCTAGTATAGGATTTAACTAGTTCATGAGCTAGAATTACATTGTCTGCAATCTTTCTACCATGGATGAAACCAGCTTGACCTTCACAAATTATGGTTGGCATGACTTTCTGCAATCTAGAAGCCAAGATCTTAGAGATCATCTTGTATAGAACTGAACAATAGGCTATTGGTCTATACTCTTTGACTGTGGCAGGTTTGGTCACTTTAGGAACTAATGTGATATTGGAACAATTAATTGCTTTATAGATCTTTCCAGTTGAGAATAACTCCTTTATAGCCTCTGTAATCTGAATGTTGATAATGCCCCGAGATTTTTTGAAGAAAACTGTATTAAATACATCAATACCTGGTGCTTTATCATCACCAATAGCTTTAAGACTTTCAACAATCTCTTGGTCAGTTACCTCTGCACACAAATCCATCATTTGCTGATGAGATAATGTAGGACCATTCTTCGTGTATGATCTATTTATGGCAGGTAAGGAATTGGCAGCTGATCCCATTAAACTCTTGTATAAATCTATGATGTCTTTTTTGATAGTTGCAGGGTCAGTCAACTTGTCTCCTAGTAATGTTGTGATTTTTGTAATCCACTCTCTTTGAGTTCTATCCTTCATTACTGCTGTGAAGTATTTTGAGTTGGAATCTCCAAGCTGTAATCTTGCTCTAGCCTTCTGTTGTAGAACACTCTCCTCAATTAAGGACCACTTCTCAAGATTGAGTAGTGTTTCCTTCTTCATATCTAACAAATCATCAACACAAGTTATTAATATCTGCTCTTAAATGGTCCTCAGCTCTAGTCTAGCCTTTTCAATTTTTTGAGTGATGCCTCTGAATTCTCTAGAATTCAAAGCTTTTAGTGCAGGTTTCAAGTCTTTCAACTTTATCCATACTGATTTCAAAGTTCCATGAGTATTGTGAGAATTCCATATGTTTACCACTATTTGAGAAAAGTCTTCATGTGTTGTCCATATGTTAAAAAATCTGAAGGGTACTCTACTAGTCCATGTTGAAGATGACATTGTTAACAACATAGGAGCATGATATGATATTTGAGGCAAACCATAGTTAGTTTCCACATGGCCCCAGGACATCATCCATTCATAGTTACCAAAAACTCTATCCAGTCTACTGCTGACCCTATCTACACCAGGTTGTTTATTTGTCCATGTATAATAGTCACCCTTCCAATGTAGATTTGTCAATGTTGTTTGTTGAAGGCAAGTAGCAAATCCTTGAATATCTGAATAGCTTACTGGGTTGCATGATAGTCTATCATTTAGATATAGTACTTCATTGAAATCTCCTGCTATTAGCCATGGAACAGTTATGCTTACTGATAGTAGTTGTAGGTTATCCCATAGAGCTCTTCTTTGTTCTATCTCATTATAATCATAAACTACAGTGAGTAAGCAATCTATATCTCCCCTTCTACTTTTCACCTGACAATGTATCATTTGAGCATCATCTTTAAGACCAGTGACAATGAGATGATTAGTATCCAACAACAACCAAATCCTTCCATTCCTAGCATCCTTATAATTTGTCAGAACATTCCATCCAGGAACAATAGCTTTTGAAATCCTTTGAGCATTCCCTTCCTTCACTTTAGTTTCTACAAGACCTACTAACTTTATTTTGTTGCTCCTAATATACTCCCTAACCTCCTTTTGTTTATACCTTTTGTTACCCCCCTTATATTCTAGAACAACCAATTTATTACTATTGATTGCTACTTCCACCTCTATCACCAGGTGGAATGTGTCCTTCATATCTACTTATAGATATTGCCTCAAACCTATTTCTCACTGGGATGGGAGACAAAGGAGGGAAGTTGATGAGTTTAAGTTCAGGACTTTGCACTATTTTGCCTTTATCATCCCGTTTCTCGGCTACATGCACCAAGTTTTGATGAGTATTGCTCTCCTTAGGTTCAGGTGTTTGTGTTGCTCTTCTATGAACTTCAGCTTCCAGATTGGTGACAACTTATTATTGAGTCTCGGATGAGGATGTATTCAGTGGCTCAAATGCATTAGGTATAGGACCTTTAGCTCTCCATTCCTGTATGATTACCTTATTACTCCTTACTTTCTTAGGCTGGATTGGCTGCTGCATCATAGGTCTTGCTTGATTAGAACACTTGTGTCCCGTAACTAAGCATTTGTCACAATAGGCAGGTTTTCAGTCATAGGTAACAGCTTGCATAAACTTCTTTCCAGTTGGATCCATAACCATAACTTCAGTTGGCAGCTCTGTAGTAACATTGACCTCAATAAGCATTCGAGCAAAGGATACCCGAGTATGCTTAGTGGTGCACTCATTAGCAAAAATAGGCTTCCCAATCACACTAGCAATTCTACTAAGTGAGCCAACTCCCCAACAAGACATAGGTAACTTAGGAAATTTGACCCACAATGGAATAATAATAGGAAATTCTTCAGTGAAATCAAAGTCAGGGATCCATGGTTTTAGAATGATAGGCTTGTTAGCTATTGAATAAGGGCCAGCACATAGTATTTCACGAGCATCTTCAATAGTTTGAAATCTAATTATGTAATAGTTTTCATCATGGTAGAACATACCAGACTCAGAAACATGTGACCCATGTAAATTAATGTATCTCTTCATCACATTATACCCTGGTCCATCTCCTAAAATATATGCAATCAATGCACACCTCCATTTGTTCTCGTCCGCTTCTACCTCTAATTTGTCTAATTGAACCATAGGCTGACCATCTACAATTTGCGGTGGGATATAGGAAAGTGACATACCATTTGTAGCGAATCTATTCTTCTGGAACAAAGTTGCCCATGGAGCTTTAGGTTCAGCTTCACTTGCTCTTACCACCTCTGCCTCTGCTGATTTCTTCGATGGATTTACTTGATTTTGAGCTGGCTTGAGCATATTTACTGTTCCATTGGCTGGTACTGCCAAAGTAGCTGCTACAGAACCAACTGACACCGGCAAAGTTAGATCTAGTTTCTTAGAGATGTTAGGATGGCCCGATGTAGAGCCAAATTCACATGCAATACCTTCCTTAGCTGGATCTGCAGTTTGAGTTGTTGATGGTGGAGTAGCTTCTGGTGCTGCTTTCTCCATCAATGGCTGATTTTCAGTTATCACCGAGCTTACAAGAGTAGTTAATGGGTATTTACGAGGTCGACCCCGTCCTCTGCCTCTCCCTTTCGCCATGGCTACACAAGCGGCGTACGTTTAACTAACGTGCGCTAAGAGCATTACGAAGAAGGAGTATTGCTAATTGTTATTTACTTTTCCGTTTTGTTTTTTTTTTGGTTTTTTTTCCTTGAGATGAAAGGCATTGTAAAAAAGAAAAAAAGGATCTTGTCGATTGATCATAAGAGATACATATTCCAAATGGCATTTTAATTTTTAAGTGAAATACTAAGCTAACTAAGTAGTGGGTTCTTTCCCATAAAAGTAAAATACCATATTAAACTAAATATTAAGTTATCTATTATTTACCGAGTTGATATTACTATGACAGCATTATTCTTTGCATTCTTTCATTTTTCAAGCCAGTTAACAATGGCTATTGGATTTTCACTATTGGTGTTGTATTAAACTTTATTAATTACTATCTGATTTAATTTTTATTACACTTGTTTATAAAGTCCACCTGGGGGCCTTGGGGCAATCCCGTTGGGTTACTTATAAAGGTAATCATAAGCCAGTTGGTAATTGATTTATTTCTTTGTTAGAGAAAATAAGACATTAATTAATAGATCGCCTATCGAAAGTCTGAAATATACGCACAACCAAAAGTCCATAATCATCTTCACATCTAACGTTCGTTGTCAAAAAAGCATAAAAAAAAAAATAAGTTAGATTTCTCACCTTCCCATCAAAGAAAAATTACTTATTAAAATAAAAAAAATTAAAGAAAATTTAAGCGGGGGATTGAAAACATGAAAATTTGCAGGGTGGGGCAAAGGAGTTCAATCTTTGCTAGTTAAGACTGAACCTACCATACAATCGCTCCGCCCCATTGACATCTTATATATAAGAATCCTTTATATTCATTTAGCTCTATATTAGATTGATCCAATTTCTATTATGTGTAAATTGTAATTACCTATGTGAGTTTCACACAAGCAATCTTTAGTAAGATAAAGTAGAAAAATTGTAGCTTATAGATAATTATAAATCCCTTTAAATTATGTAAAAATGATAGGAAAAAGTTTTTATTTCGAATGAATGAGACACAAGAAAGTTTTGGATAACATTTTTTACAAATTCAATTGGTTGTATAACATGCTTTGGAAATGAAGGACAATTTAAGAGTAGAAACGAGGAAGGCCACCGTGAAACTGTTTAGAATAAGCTAATAATGAGAATGCCCATAAAATGTTTGTTATTAAATTGACTAGCTGATAACTCCAAACCTGGGCTTGCATTTTATTTGGCATTTGTTTTACTTTGGGATTAGAGTGATCCAAATTGACCACGTCAATCGTCATAATATTAATGTGATTTCGTATACGGATAATACATGCGAATTTTTTTTTCCTAACCAAATGGACAAATAATTTTTTTTTCTAACCAAGTCTTCTTGTAGGGCTATTACTGCAAGGTGGTGGTGAAGGGAATTCAAGCAGTAGCACCTACTCCACATGCATAAGTCCAAAATACAGTTAAGACTACAATTACAAGCTACGTGTGGCCGGCAAATTCAAACAGTAACACTTTTTCCCATCCACAAATATAAATACAATATGGTTTAGGGGCAATACATCCACAACTTAATTAAGATCTTGAAGAAATGTTAAATTATCTTCAGAGATAAAATGACCTTAAACAAAAATCTTCTTCCAAGACAAGATGCTATTGAACAAGGCTCGTTAGCCATGCTTGAGGGACCTCAGCCTCCACAACATGAAGCACAAATATAGACCTTGGCAAATACATTTAGACCAAAAATTACTAGCTTTTCTTGAGATCTCAACCTACACAACCCGGAGGACAACCTAGAGGTCAACATGGACTTTGGCTTGGGGGGACTTCAGCCTCCACAATCACATCCAGATCAAGTAATATTAAGAAAATCAGTAGTTCTTTTCTTCAGTCAATAATGAAGAAAAATAGTGAAAAATATACAAATAAAATAACGCAGATATAAAATCTGCACAATAAAAATAAGAACATGATTAACTTTTTTCTCAGTCCGTAAAGAAGGAAGACAATAAAAAAAAATTAAAATAGAGTAATATAAATTGTAGATAACAAAATAAGACGTTGAATAGTGCACTATAGTGATGATCTAATACATTACTAATAATCTCATACATGAATGAAGTTTATGTCATAACAAATAACTTTATGGCATATAGTATGTATCACGTAGAATATTAATAGAGTTTCATGTATATACTAAAACTAGATGAGCTTTCTATTGTTTTATGCTGCCTTGAAATGTCATATATTAAGTATTGCTTGATATAGACTATTTAATGTATATATAGTATATACATTACTATATAGTGTGTATATATATATATATATATATATATATATATATATATATATATATATACACACACACAC